AGAGGCGATCCAACTCATGGGTGGCCAACGCCCATGTAAGTGACAGGAAACCTTTCCCCGGATCTAGACTGCTGTGAGCCTACAGTCAAATCCAGCTGTTTTGTCAAGAAGCAATTAAATTGGGCTGCAAATGACAGGCATTAGGAGACATGTGAGCACGGGAGGGGCGAGGAGGCGCGCAGGCGAGCGCCAAATTTAGATTTGGGCGTACAGGCAGATCCTTTAACAAAATAGGGCAATCGTAAACTCTGTTTTTTTCCTTCTACAATAATTGTGCATCGATGTGAGGTAGTGCTACTTACGAGGGTCATGCTCTAAAGAACTGACATGACTGGGTAATTTAACTAACCACCATCGACCAGAAGCACTTGCAGTCTGTCCGAAAAAGGGGACTTATATTTGACTTCAGTGCGCGATTCGAGCATGCACACCACTGGATTTGTTTTTATAAGAGAGCCTTTGCCAATATTAGTGGACTGTATTTCAAGACCAATTGACCTTAGAAATTGGGTTACGGATCTCTTAGCTCCCGTCTATTCAAAGACCCTTATTAGGCTCCAAATATAAAACAGCGTTGATAACCTTAGCCCTAGAATTCTGTCTTAGGTGACCGGCGGTATTCCTTTAGTGTAATTTTTACTTTAATTAGTTATTTTTAGTATAGCGTTGTTTTGTTAGTTTAACATATAGCAATTATTCAAGTATATGCAGGAGGGCATTACCGACAAAGACAATGAAAATTACAATGGCCGTTTCTGGCTTATTTGCCGTCATCAGGTAAGGATACTGATTTCCAGTGTTGCTGCTGAAATTGCTGCCACACTCGAATTACGAACTCGCGTCTCTCCGGTCAGAGGCGAATGCCTTAACCTTTGAACTATCGAGTTCGCAGTCCTACCGGTATTAGATCTGGGTTATACAGTAGCAGATACGCGTACACCGATCTGATAGAGGACACACTCGTCTGTCCATGTTGCCATTAAAACTCTCCCTCGAGCCTCCGTTGAGGGGCGGCTAGGATATATGCAGAAAGGAAGAGAAGAAAAAACTTGCTTTAGTTAAGATAATTCATCATACATTTTCAGCTAATCATATCTTCATTCACGGAGAGAAAACAATAAGTGAAGTAATGGGTCATGTAAAAAGTCATGTAATGCTCAAAATTAAACTTTGACACAAAATCCACATCTACTATGGAGACAGATAAGCTTTCAACTTTTCAATTTCCGCTTCTTCACACGTGAGGTAGCGTGCTAGGAATGGGAGAACAGAGTGCTGATATGTTGATGTGCGGCACGACATATGACAGAAGCCTCGACACATGGGACGGGAAGACTTCGCAGTCATTACTTCAGAGTGGAGAGGGTGAACTACGTCATTAAAGATGGGATCAGCAAATTGCTTTACCGTTTTAAACTGGCGCTGTATTGTAATATCATTTAAAAAAGATAGGAAACACCGGCAGATAAAAGAGTATTCGGAGGCCACGTTTAGAAATGACAAGGTCTTTTTTGAGTAAGACTGAAAACATAATTGGAGAGCATTAAAGAATGAGGGGAGAGTACAAGCATCTACAAAACGCCAAATTAGGGCTGGCGGGGTGTTAGATAAACGCAAGCGGCGGATATAATATAAAATAGGCCTTGTATATGAAGAGCAAATGTAAGGTTGGATACTAGAGTAACACCAAGGTATCGAAAAGAGGATATTTCGTTGGGCAGAATGTCAATAGTAGCGGGGCTGGGAGGGACACGCAGCCGAAAAATACACTGGAGTCACTTTCGCCCGTTAAGTAGAAGGCCATTTGCTGACGACCATGTTGAGACATGGTCTAGGTCATACTTCGGTAGTTGGAGATGTGGCGCATGATCGTAATGAAGGCTGAGGAGTAGTCAAAAAAAGTACATCCGTATGCATGGCAGCACTTATCTTAATCTCTTAGAGCAGAATGGACTACGAGAGCAACAGCGTCTATTGTACTACATGTGGCCTTCTACGCAAACTGCAGGGGAACGATAAAATATGGAAAAAATTGTGTAATGATGTCTAAGGCAACTCGTTCTGCTCGTGCAGAAGAGCAGGCAATTCGACGAAAAGTTTTTGGACCAGAAGAGGAGGGTTTTTACGGATGGGAGTGATTCTCACTGATCGCCACTCATCAGTAATCTTAGAGTGCATAAAGGACAAGTTGATGAGGTGTGTTAATGCATGTGCTAACTGAAAAAAGGAAGATTTCAGGAAAATTGTGAGATCCCATCTGGGTCTGCAGCCGTTGAATGTCGAACCTTTTTTAAGATGTTTCATCACTGTTTCCACAGACACAGGAACGAAGACACTTGGTTAGAATGAAATGGCGTCTGTCGGGAGATGGTTGGCGGTGAGAGTGTGGATGAACTCTAAATCTAAGCCTATGTCTGCACCTACGTGCGCTAGTGTATTGCCTTAACCAGTGAGACGCTTAAGACTCATCCAAATTTCATAAGAGGAGAGAGGAGAGGAATGTGTAGAAGAAATAAAAAGCTGACTAACAAAAAATTCGTTCAGCCTGAAAATCTCATGCTTTATTTCGACGTTCACATCGTTTAGTCTTTCTCGTAGACCTAGTTTGTAGAGCAATTT